AAGCACCTGAAGCATACATGGTGACAGGCTTGAACATCGTGTTCTATAGTGAAATCTTATTTTCAAGATTGAGTTTTGAAGTTGACCAGAGGATAGAGTTTAGCTATCCTCATCTGCACTTTGCTCTTGGTATAATCAATGTGATTTGCCCAGGTGAGTCGCCGGTCTCCCAAAGACCTAGGTACTTGACTCACGTTTGCCATTCGATCTCCCTGCCTGAAATCGTGACTGTTGTGTCTGGAGAAACTTTACATCTCCCCAAGTCTATCGCCTGAGTTTTTTCTGGATTCACTCGAATCTTCCAATCAAGGTACCAGCGTTCGAGGTCGTCCAATGCGCCTTGCATGTAGACGACCGCCAACGCCCGACCCATGGAAGAAGCGAGGAGAGCCGTATCATCGGCGTAAAGGGAAACTTTCACGTGATCGAACCTCGGAAGGTCGCTCACGTAAAGGCTGTACAATAGTGGAGACAGCACAGCTCCCTGAGGCACTCTAGCTTCGATTTTCCTGACGGGAGACAGGGTTCCTTCAACTCGGACCTGAAATGTCCTGCCTTTCAGAAAGGACCTAATCCACCGGACCAGACCCCGAGGCAGATCGAAATCGAGCATTTTGTGTAGCAGGCCTTCGTGCGAGACTCGGTCGAAGGCTTCCGAAATATCCAGAAAGACAAGATGGACTGTCTCCTGTTGTTCAGCTCTGAGATATAATTTTCGACCAGTCTCAGGGCCTGCAGCTCGGTGGAGTGTGCCCTCCTGAAGCCGAATTGTTCGTCAGGCAGAACATTTCGGTCTTCAATTTCTTCTGTTAGCCTTTGCAGCACAACATGTTCAGCCAACTTAGCCGTTGAGCAAAGCAGACTGATCAGACGATGATTCTGGGGAAACAGCGGGTTCTGGCCCTGTTTCGGAATCATGCCAACTACGGCATGCCTCCATCTTCAAGGGAAGTATCTGAGAGTGATTGAGCTGTTGATAATGTCCAGCAGGTATCTGATGAAGTTCTCCGGGAGCTGCTTCAACAAGCTGTTGTTGATTAAATCAATTCCCGGAGCCTTCTTGGGTTTGGAGGTCCTAATGTACCCCCTCAGTTCTTCCTCCGAAGCTGGACGGATCACGTCGTCATCATTTTCCCTAAAGATGCGTCGAACCCGGTGTTCCAGCCAGATATCACGGTCAATATCATCATCCGGATCAACGTTAAGTCGAAACTGTCTCTCCATTGTGTCTGCAAAGGCCAACGCCTTCTCGGCGGGGGAGTAGCAGATACTGCGCTATCCGTGAAGAGGGGAGGGAGCGGTTTTCCTCTTCTTGAGCCTGCGGATGACTCGCCAGAGCTCGTCATCCCTAGGTTCGAGCGATTCCAAACACTCACTCCACCTCTCGTTTCTATAGTCAGTGTTTAACCTGGTTGGCCATCCTGCTAGCCGCAGCCTTGTCTCCAGGGTAGAGAGTCCGCCGATAAACTCGTCTGAGTCGATTTCTCTCCCGAATAAGGTTCTTTATCCTGGGAGGAAACTCATTATAGCTCCGCAGGACACTGTCCTGGTTGTGGCTGCGCGGAAAGCGTTGTTCACAGACAATTCGAAATCTGCCACCGCCGCGTCGAGACCGTTGCGAGTTTGAAACGCCTCACGGCCTGTACGTGTCTCCATTAGGTTAGCCTTGAAGGCTTCCCAATCGGTGGATGATCTCATGCGATAATCCTGGGGAGGAGGATCATCACCCAGCATAAGGATGGTTGGATTATGATCTGAGTCAAGTTTCGACAAAGTGTACACTTCGCAAGACATGGAGACGTTCCTGAGCAGTGCGATAGAACGTGGGTTCATCTGGACCCATCACTCGATACTCATGCCTGTCAGCATGCGCATGGAGTGCTCGGCCGTTCGCATTGGTGAGTCTGCTCCACATATTGTGCTTGGCGTTGAAGTCACCAGCAGCAATTGTGGGGGTATTTGTCGACATCAGCAGTTCATCCAGTGATTCTGGGAGTAGACGATTCCGCGGAGGGTTGTAAACTGAGATTAGTCTATGACGACCTCTTCTAGTTGGAGGTCAACGCCCACGGCTTCCGTGCCATGTAACTGATCCGAGTCAATGCCGAATTGTACGTGAGGAAGATTACGTTTGACAAAAATGCCAACTCCTCCAGCACGTCCAACGCGTTCTCTGTGGTAAAAACGGTAGTTTGGAATAGCAAAAGGTTCATTGTGCAGGTGGTTTCCTGCACCAGTGCAACATCGATGTTTTGTTGTATTAGAAAATTCTCAAAATCTAATTTCTTGTTTGAAATACTGTTGGCATTCCAAAATACAACCTTAAGAGAATTAGGCAATGTTGGTTGTCTAGCCATTAACAGGTTCCAGTTAGCACGTTGGTGTTCACCGTAAACATCATTTCGAGTACGGGGAACTGAATGAAGAGTTTTTTTATCTGGTCCAGAGCGGAACAGGTGTTACTAACCTTCGACGGGCGGGGACTACTGGGCGCCTCGGTCGGCCTGGCGGAGGTGTTACCGCTATTGGCCGCTCCTGCGTAGCTCATTCCCGGGCGTGTGCCAGATGCTCCGGCAGGATGCTTTCCAGGTGTGGGTGTATTTCGGGGAGCATTTGCAGCTACTTTGGTCCTCCTGCGAACCCTGGGGAACTCAGGACAACCGCGGTAGTTTGCAGTATGCACAGCCTTGCAATTATTGCACTTGGGCAGATCTGCTCGTGGCTTCTTGCACTCACCTGAAAGGTGTCTGCCGGCGCATTTGACGCAAATGGGAAGAGCTAGGCAGTTCCGTTGGCTATGCCCGAACCGCTGACATCGGTGACACTGCCCTACCAGTGTTTTTTGGTGTTGGGGCTCAACCTTAACTTTAACGTTAAGGAGATCCCGGATATCTTCCAATTTTGGTTCACTTGAACCAAAACCAGGGGAAGCGGTCGATTTCCTCGCAGCATCCTGGTGACGGATGATGGTTGGAAATCTTTTTCAACCAAGGCGTCCTCGATGTCAGCGGTCTTCAGATGTTCCGGGACTCCTCTGAAGATGGCTCTGATTTGCCTGTCTTCAGGTGAGGTATACGTGTGGTGGGGAATGTTTTTCCCTCACCAATAGTTTGGACATACTCCTGTAGTCCTCGGCCGAAGAAGGCTGAACCTTAATGCCGTCAGCCATGTTTACTGCCTTGGTAGAGTTCACCTTATGAAAGGCAGCCAGCTTTGTGAATTGAACCCACTTGTCCTTCTGGCGAAAGACAATTGGGGAAACGCGTGTTTTTCTGGTGCTTTGGGGCACCTCAGGACGCGGAGAGAGAGAGGAGCTAGTTCCCTGATCGTTGGGGTTTTCAACCTGATTTAGATTTTGGGTTGGCTGTTTTGGGCCACCCTGTATAGTCGAAATCGATTTTTCAGACCAACATTTCATGGTCACCTTCGATGGAAGACTCTGTTGTTGAGAGTTCTGACTCTGAAGTGTTGTTCTTGGCTTCGTCTCGGAGCTCTGACATCTTTTGAGCCACTTTTTTGGGCTTGTTGCTGGTATTTTTGTTTACTGGAGCGACTGATTCAGATGGAAGAGGAGGAAACTCTTCTAGAAGGCGACGCTTTCTGTTGGCCGGTTCTTGAGGCTTGATCGTATTGTCGTCGTCGTTTGTTTCAGACTGAGCAGAGAGGGTGGTGCCGACGGGAGTATCTCTGGAGGATACATTCCGTGACGGACGCTCGAGAAGCTCCTTGGCCTCTGGTGGAGGGCCAGAGGGCTCCCGAACTGCCGCCACGGGCCCAGGCGATCAGCAATAAACCCATGAAGGTAATTACTTCACCCCTGTCCCTGGTCATCAGGCTGTCAAGCAGTTCCTCCATACTGCTGTCAAAAAACTCACACCCTTTAATATCCCAAGGGTAGGCGATGAACAGTTCCGTGAGAGTATAGTTTGAACGCACTCACCAGAAGCCTGGAGGGTCCTTGCGCACTACAAACAACGCACTCACTAATAGGAGATATGTAACTACTGGTGAATGGCTGATCATCCACCAGAAATAGTCGTATTTGTGAAAAAAACTTCGAAATTATCGCAGCGAAAAATATTCTGTATGTCAGTTTGACAGCTAATTTCAGAATCATCTGACTTCGAATGTGAAAATCTTCATATTTATACATTCTGGACGCGCTATGTTCCGCTAATCGAAACGCTCAAAAAATCACGTTCTGTTTCGATCGACCAGAAAATCAATAATCATCCGATATCTTCCAGCCAATCAGACGTCAGTTGGTGCCTGGGGGTGAGGTGCCTTCAGGGACTTTCGTTGTAAACAACGGTCGGTCATTCCCGGGAATACTCGGAATTTTAAAAAATTTGTCAAAAATTTTTATTACATTTTCGGGTAATATTCATCGATCCGAATCGAAAAGTCAAATAACATTTTTCGATATTCTCATTCCTTATGGCTGTGAAATGTGTGATCTTTTTTTATTTCAAATCTAAATAAAATCTGACCCTCTCACGTTAGAGACGTGATTGAGGTGTCAAACGAAAGCTAGTTGAGAAGGCCATCGATAGTTCTTCGAAGAAAGTACGATTTCCCTATCTAAATAACTGAAAAAGCCATTTTTCAGAAAAATCGTCTTTTTCCCTATTTAAAATTAGCGAAAACTACTAATCTTGCAAAAGATTTTCCCTAACACATAGGAAATGATATCCCACATCTTAATTTCAATGAATTAAGTTGAAATATCATAGAAAAACATAATTTCCAAGTTTCGAGTTGTGCTCTAAGAATAGGCGGAGCTTGCACTGAGGCTCGGGAAACAAAACCAAACAGTTTTGTTTCACGACAAGGCTACAACATCTTGAGCGATCATCAATATGGCTTTCGGAAACAAAGTTCAACAGATGACCCGCTACCATATGTCATCCATATTTGGAATAACGCNTAATGACTAACAATTTGTTTAGACATCCCAAAAGGTCATCTGATTATTATGTAGTTTATTCTAACAATTCCAAGAAAAATCCTCAATACAGCTATTTTAGATTTCCCAAAGATGAAGATAGGTGAGTTCAATATAAATAGATTTCATAGCTATTCACTACATTTTTAATGGAAAGTTCAAACCCATATATCCTATAAAATTTTCAGGTGTAACAAGTGGAAAGTAAAACTAAAAGTAGTGCAGCAGGGTTCCTATTATTCAGAACAATGTTATAAACGGTTCAGAGTCTGTAGTGCCCACTTCAAAGAGCGATTTTTTTAAGCATACAAAAAATAAACTGAAAAGGAAAGCTGTTCCAACCATATTCGAATAATACATTCCAGTGGAGAGAGTGGAGCATCTTCTGGTAAATATAAAATTTTTTCTTCACATCGAAATTACATGTTATATGGAAATATAAAAATGTTCAATGACTTCACTAATTGTATATAGTGTTTATTAACAAATGTTATGTATTTCTTTTACAGGAGATTGTATGCAAACATCAGCTGTCTTGAAATATGTTCCTAGTACAAGCTTTGCCAACTTTATTTAGAGGGTAATTTTTTGTTTTCCCTGTTTGATTGTCAAGGCGTATTCAAGCAAGCCAACTTAACTTATGAATAACTTATCAACTTAAAAAAATTAATTACCAGGATCAAATGAGGGCATTCAGTACAAGCTTTGCTGAACCTCATTCTGAAGGTATTCCTTTTTTTAAGCTCTTTTTTAATTTGCTGTGGTTTTTGCCTGCCTGTATTATAATTGTAATATGAGCATTGCTCATTTGTGGATTATTCTTCACCATATTGTTATCTGTATGTAATTTTATGCCACATACAAGGTTTGTAACAACTAGGTCCATTTGTTGTATATAAAAATGTAATAGTTTGTACTTATATTTTAAAATGTATTCAAGAGGTGTATTAGTAGCAGATACAAGTTATATATTTTCGTCCAGGGCACAATGGAGAAATAAATGAATAATTCAATTAAATTGTTGTATTCTTATTTGTAGTATATTTTCTGGATGTCATTTATCAAACAAAAATGTGCCGATACTCATTTCCAACAATAGTCAGATTATCAGTATATTTTAACAGTTTGATATGTAACCATTGAATTATTTTTTAAATCAAATATTTATCGACAAACCAAATATCGAATATTAGTAATTATTCTGCAGGAATTCCAGCCCAAAATCCCATGTATTTTCTTATGGCGCTTCATTCTGGTCCTTTTTGGACCTCAGGCCCACTTCACACGAAAGGAGTATCTGCGTCAAAATATATCATTTAAGGAAAAAAACATGTCGATTTAAAATATGATATCAATGTGTATACAGGGCATTCCAAAATACATCATTTGAAAAAAAACATGTCGGTTCAACAGAAGTCTAGCGTTCCAACATGTCGGAACTCTCATATCTTTGTTAACCAAGTTAGCATCATCAGGAGAAGAAGGAGATGGCACCAAAGATGTCGAGGAGTTACGTATTGTGGAGTTAACATTCGAAAATGGGAAAAGCGACCGTTTTACAAACGTTTCGACTGTTTTGCGTGCCACCGTTTTGCGTGCGTTTTCGACCATTTTCGATCGTTTTCGATATTTTGCGTACGTTTTAGATCGTTTTTCGTGCGTTTTCGACCGTTTGCGTGCGTTTATTCGTTATGGTTTCATCGTTATTGTCGTAACCGTTTTTCGGGTTTCAATATGACAGTCATTTATCACTTAACGCGTTTCGCTAACCAAGTGAGCATCATCAGGAGATGACTAAAATCCGTGCTTTGTCGTATGAAGGTTTGTTTTGCGACTTTTCAGACCTTTGAACGGAACCTTGTGGAACACTCAGCTTAAACTTCTGTTACAGAGTGGTGTCGGTCAGCCAATCAGAATGGATGAATCAAATATCACTCGATTGATTGTGTTAGATGAAATTGAACTGAAGAATGAAGGTCGAATAATAATAATGATAGTGATAAAACATTAAAACTTTGAAAGTGACGTAGTCAGCGTGAGAAGTGGTAGAAAATGTGTGATGATTTGTGGAAAGGAATGATTCATTAGAAAAAAAATGGCGCAACTGTCAGAAAGGCACTGAGTTGTATATTCACTAATAATGATCGGATCGTCGCGTACAGCACGTCAAATGAAAGGATAAGAAATGCAGAATTTAGTTGAATCTCAACGTGCAGCACATCAAATGGAAGGGAAACGAATACAGAGTGTACCGACAAAGAAACTGAATGTTGGGTTATCAACAACTATAAGTTTATTCCAATTGCAGAAGCTTGATGCAAAACGCAGGATTTATTGACAAAGAAAATGAAAAAAATCATTGTATACTGAAACATATGATATATTTGGATTCCTTAGGGTGAAAAGGTTTCGAATCCATCAAAAAACGACCACTTCCGTTTCATTTTACTTCGTTCACATGTCATGAAACATAATCGATCATTTGTCGAAGTCAAAAGGTCCTTATAAACTATTTTCATTATACTTGCAGCAACAGACCGATGTGGGTACTCATTTCAAATTATTTCATTTGAAGGTTATGAAAAGTATAATATACAGCGTCCAATGTGAAATAGCATACAAAGAATTGCACATTCAAAGAAAATCATTGAACATATTTGAAATTTAAAGTTGTTGGGTTATGAATAGCTACGAGTGTAATCCAATTGCAGAAGTTTGATTCAAAACTCAGAATTTGTTGACAAAAAAATGAAAAAATCATCGTATACTGAAACATATGTTATTTTTGGATTCCTTATGGTGGGAAGGTTTCGAAGCCATCAAAAACAGGTCACTTCCGGTTTTCACTTCCGGTCGTTCGATTCCGATGATTTTGACATGAATGGATTCGTTTGGATGCCAAAAAACATAGTTAATCATTTTACAAAGTCAAAAGGACCTCATAACCTATTTTCGCTATACTAGTCGCAACAGGTCGTTGTGGGTACTCATTTCAAATGATTCAATTTGTAGACTATAAAAAATATAATATCGAGCGCCTTATGTGAAACAGCATAGGAAGAATTGCAAAGAGAATTATTGAAAAACTCCGGATCGTCACGTACATCATGTCAAATGAAAGAAGAAGAATTGCAGAATTCATCGACAACGAAAAAACAAATATGGTGCAACATGTCAGAAGGGCACTAGCCCACATATTCATTAATGATTGTTGAATCTCAACGTGCAGCACAACAATTGAAAGGAAAACGAATGCAGATTTCATCGACAGAGAAAAAACAAATCTGGCCCAATATGTCAGAAGGGCACAAAGCCACATTTTCGATAATAATTGTCGACGTACAGCACATCAAATGAAAAGAGAAGAAATGCAAAATTCATCGACAGAGAAATACAAAGATGGCACAGTATGTCAGAGGGACACTAAGCAACATCTTTGTTAATGAAAGTTGGATCTCAACGTGCAGCACATCAAATGAAAGGAAAACGAATGCAGAATTCATCGACAGAGAAAAAAAACGGAGACGATGCCAAGAGGGCACAAAGTTGTATCTTCACTAATAATAGTCGCATCATCACATGTAGCACTTCAAATAAGAGGGAAAAAAAGCAGAATTCATGTGTTTGTTGCGCTATTCAAATCCAAGGTGACATGGATCAATGTCAACGCTGAATAGCATCTAACAAAGACTCTTTGATTTTCTTTTGTTTCATTTCAGAATATGTCATCACTAATTTTTATATTCATACCCAAGTGACATTGATCACTGCCAATGTCGAATCTGCATCCGGAGATATGCAGTTCTCAAAGCGACGAAACAAAGGCTCTTTGTTTCATTTTAAAATATGTCATCACTTATTTTACTATAAATACGTCATGCATGGCGAAATGAGTTAGTTGCATCCGTTGAAAGTGATACCAGTGACAAGTGCACCGATTCTATTTGAAAGTAAGTGTTTTAGGTTTGACTTTTTCCTCAGATGAATTTATTCAAATGTAATTTAATTGAAAATTGGTGAGAATTGTTGAATCATTTGATTTCCAAAATTTTTCTCGATATATATATGTTGGATGATTTCAGTCAAATGTTTTACATGTCGTGGTTTGTTTGAAATAGTATTCGCATATATTGTGAATCAAAACATAAATCTTTCATTTTTTATTTTTCGCAGATGGATTTACAAAAGTTGAATGCAAGTTCGGTCGTGAAGAGAAAGCCAAGTATCAAAGCAGCAGATTCGCCTATGGAGATGCCGCAGAGGATATTCACTGCCAAAATCGTGAAAGGAAAATTTGGTGGGGCGGTCTTGTTAGATTTGGGAGATTAAGTATCATTTCTGCCCCACCGAGTGACGGAGGCGTATCGTCCTCACTTAGAAGAATTTTCATCAGGAAAATACGCTATTGTGTTCAAAGGGTTGATGGACATTGGAAAACCGAATCGTGTCGTTTCATTTGAAATTGTACGAAATTAAGGGTAGTACTGTTTCCAATTTTTTCTCCATTTAATAGGCAAAGAGTTTGTGGTTGTATACAGTATTTTTCTTTCGGCTTTAAAATTCTCATTCATAGATATGATCTGCATAAAGTAGTGTTTTCATAAAACATTTTCTCTTCATTTAGTACGTGCAGAATATGTGTTTTAAATTCATTATTTTGAATGAAACTTGATTTTTTTATTTTCATTATAAGTGTACCAATCACTTCATGAAATACACTGAAAAAAATACAAAAGTATTTTTTTTTGTGTATGTTTGTACTGAAAATCGAATTTATTCCAGAATGATACATCATCAACGTGTGCAGTATCAGTCAGAGTCATCTCAACAACAACATTCAAAACCGTCATAACAACCTTTCCAGAACGAGTTTCAAATCTCAGCAGTTTTCATTTTTTTCAGTTTATAGTTGCACATTATGAGGCTAGAATTCGTCAATATTCAGGGATTTGTTGGACAGACTGCGCCTATCCAATATATACACAACCGTAGTGAATTTGGAAGACTTTGAAGATTCATGGTGGTGTATTCCAAAATTGGAGGAAAACACGCCGTTCTGTATGGGTCATTCCAAAGGAAATTTGTTCAGCTGCAGTCTCAATAGAGTTGATATTTTATATAAGTGGCTTTATAATATATTACCAAAATAAATAAAATACATATCACACACATCTTTTTTGGAAAATGAAAAATTATCTTATACCGGGAAAGTTGTCAAAAATATGCAATAACAAAAAATTATATACCAGATTTTATAGAGATGACTGAACATAATATTGAAAGATACAAGGTTGACAAAAACAGGACATTTTAGAAATAAAGAAAATAAGTTTGTCTGCCATTTTAAATTCTGATTCGTTGGGTCGATATAACAAAAAGTGGCATTTTATATCTTGAATTTTATTCAGGACATTATNTCTGGACGCGCTATGTTCGGCCAATCGAAACGCTCAAAAAATCACGTTCTGTTTCGATCGACCTGAAAATCAATAATCATCCGTTATCTTCCAGCCAATCAGACGTCAGTTGGTCCCTGGGGGTGAGATGCCTTCAGGGACTTTCATTGTGAACAACGGTCGGTCATTCCCGCGAATACTCGGAATTTTCAAAAATTTGTCAAAAATTTTTATTCTATTTTCGGATAATATTCATCGATCCGAATCGAAAAGTCAAATAACATTTTTCTATATTCCCATTCCTTCTGGCTGTAAAATGTATGATATTTTTTGATTTCAAATCTAAATAAAATCTGACCCTCTCAAGTTAGAGACGTGATCGTGGTGTCAAACGAAAGCTAATTGATTAGTCTATCGATACTTCTTCGAAGGAAGCACGATTTCCCTATGTAAATAACTGAAAAAGACATTTTTCAGAAAAATCGACTTTTTCCCTATTTAAAATTAGCGAAAACTACTAATCTTGCAAAAGATTTTCCCTACCACATAGGAAATGATATCCCACATCTCAATTTCAATGA